CTTACCTTTATAAACAGGCCACATCTTGTAAAGGAGCAACAAAAGTATATAGGTTATACTTTTATTGCTAAGCAACATGATATAAAAGCCATTGTTGGAATGCATTATTACCAAAACACACTGGCATTTCTATATATCAAAAATTGTTATATAAGGAACCACTTCTTTTCTATGTGGTTTTTGCTAGCTTGCCTCATTAAAAATATTTGCGCATGCATGCACACACGTGGATAAGTAATAATACCCAGGTGCAGACCATCACAGTCCACTTAGTATGGGTGCAAGATTTCAGGTTGCTAGGTTCTTCCCTCGAGCTATGGCAGTCACATTTCTTTTCTATGTTGTTTTTTGCATAAAAAGATGCATATGCACACACACACGTGGATAAGTAATAATACCCAGGTGAAAACCCTCAGGGTCCACTTAGTATGGGTGCAAGATTTCAGCTTTCTAGGTTCTTTCCTCTTGGAGCTGTGGCAGTCACATTTCTTTTCTATGTTGTTTTTTCATAAAAAGATACATATGCACACACGCATGTAGATAAATAATAATACCCAGGTGAAAACCCTCAGGGTCCACATAGTATGGGTGCAGAATTTCAGGTTTTTAGGTTCTTTCCTCTTGGAGCTATGATGGTCACACATACACAGACATGCATGTGTGCATGCACACAAGTGCATGTCTCTCCATCTGTGTGATATCTATTTGTAAGGAGCCACTTTTTTTCTATGTGGTTTTTTGCTAGATTGCCTCATTAAAAATATGTGCATGTGCACACATGCATGCCTGTCTGTGATTTATATCCATAATTTGTAATATATGGAACTACTACTTTTCTGTGAGATTTTTTGCTAGCTTACCTCATTAAAGGATGGGCATGCATGTAGATAAGTAATAATAACTAAGTGTTTACACTCAAGTGGATGCATTTAGTATGGTGCAAAATTTCAGGTTTCTCGGTTCTTTGCTCTTGGTGGTATAGCAGTCACACATATATGCAAGCCCACAGACACAACCTTTTATTATTATAGATAGGATAAATTTCTACTTTTCTCAGTTTTTCTCCCATGATCTATTTATTATTTACAAAATTCTTATTTTCATTTCCATTGTTGCTGCTTTATAAAACTTATTTCTTGATCTTTACCTGGACTTGTTTTTATTCAACCTTTTAATTTCTTTATTTAATTCTTCAGTTTCTATTTTTCTCTCCAATTAATCATAATTTATTTCTACATTCAAGTATTCTTTTATTTCTTCTTAATCATATATCTCTTTCCCTAATTTGAATTTTTGTATTTTCATATTTTTTTTCTTATATGTGTTTACTTCTTCCCAAAATTCTTTATTGATCTGCTCTTTCCTTCTTCTTCTAGATGTTATATTTTTCTTTCTTCATTTTATATAAGCATCTTCTTGCATTTATATTGTTATGACAGCAAAAGTCATGTGACGCTGGTAACACGTGATGAGTTTCTAGAAGGATCATGAAGGCTCGAGCATTTGCCAGACGCCCTCTATTTTTGTATATATAAGCCCAGCAAATAAAGCAGAGAGAAGAAGTGACGGCATAGATAATTGCAGACAGGCAGAGATAGAGATGGATAATTGAGTCAAACGTGGTAGTGACCGTAAGTAAAGCGCATGAATCGTTGTGAATTATAGCGTGTGTTTAAGTTAAAGTGAAAGTGGAAATTAAGTGTATTGCAAAGTTGTATTGGGAAAGAATAAACTAGTTTTATTTAAGAAAGGACTTGTATCGCTAAAGTTTTATCGGAAAGAAATTATGCAGGAAATTAACAAACGAAAAGAGACGTAACAATATAATTAATCCTGTCTCCATTTTCTGATGTATTTTTACATTTATTTAAATATCTTTGTCTCTTTCACACCTGTTATCAAACTTTTCCTTTCATTCCTATATCTTTAGCATGCTTCATTACATATTTTATTGAAAATCTCTAATTCTTCCTTTATATTTTAAATCTTATTATCTCACTCCATTTGCTTTCAATATTCCTGATAAAATATTTTTTCTTCTCTTCTTTCCACTTCAATCCTCCCCTTTTTTCTTTAGTGTTTTCTTGCTTTGTAGTTTCTTTTCATGGCAGGCTACTATAGATATCCATGATATCACTGGAGATCACAACATTTCACACTTTGATCTTCCAATTCATTTCCAATTTACCATTGAAAAAAAGGAAGGTCTACTTTCCAAAAGCACTTGTAGTTTCTTAGTATCATGAAGTTTTTAATTTGTTTCATAATTCATCACCAATGTGTCTAATTATGCAAAATTGTTTATTTTTACTCAAAATAATATGCTTTATCCAAAGTTTTGCTAAGTTATTGTTACATTAATTGAAATTAGTGTAAGATCCAAGCTTTTTTGTTTGACATTTTCACATGCCCTCCTCATTTGAACATGTCTCACAGAATTCATTCCAGTTCCTAGTTTATGTGGTGAAATTTCATCCTCTATTTCCTGTAGGATGCACATAATAAAATAGTTCAGTTTGAAATCACCATGGGAAATGTTGTTATTTGGCTTGATATTAACTACTGCACAGTTTTCAAGAATTTTTGATTTTATGTAACTTTATGTTTTGTAGATTTGTTTGGATGGTTTGCAGTTTATAAGGTGATCAAAATCACTCATATGTAGGAAGATGGCATTTTTATTTTCATTTTTAACATCTTTTTTATGCTCCATAATTCTTATATTTATATATTTTATCCTATTTCACTCATGTAAACTTTTTCAAATGACTAGCATGGAATTATAGATGACTTAGTTATCCAACTTCTTATAGCGATGTTTATGTTAGATTATTTTTCATAGTGTTGTAATGCTTGTAAATAACAATAAATTAATTTTTCTTTAGAATCCTCTGTATGAATTCCAACTTAGTACTTTAGTTTAAACTAGGTGTTTTCTTTTTTTTCTATTTATTTTCTATTTCCTTCATTATCTTTGAAAAATATTACTCTGTCTTGTAAAAGATGTGCCTTTTTAATGAAGTTTATAGGATACCATAATTTTTTGAAAAATATATCAGATATTCTGAATTTCTTTTTCTGATATTAGTATATCACATATTCTATAGGCTCCTAAAAATACAGACATAGCAATAGGGGTTTTAATCATCTGTGGTGACACAAGAAAAAAAATGGAAGTACCTTACAGGGTTCTTAGATTTTCCATAGTCTAAGAAGTCAATCCTATATATAAGTATGTTTAAGAAAGGGAGTGAATCCTTTGTTTTCTAAGTTGTGTAGTTAAACTTTAAATTCTATATTTTTGTGAAGATGGCTTAGTTTCTCAAAGATTGAAAAATCACACCTGTTATTTGGCCAAATTGAAAAAATATCTAATTAGCACAGCCATGGAAACTTCATGCCATTAATGCCTGTTAATAGAAGTAAATCAGTTTTAAAATGTTCCATGGAAATGTTGGTAATAAAGCATTTCCCATTTCCATTATTTATCTTTGTTTTTAGTTCTGTCCTAAACACATTGTTATGAAAACAGATTTCAAGAAATTAGATTAATGTATGTACTGGAACTGGAAGACTATATGTCAAGACAATTTGATTTTCTTTAGTGATATTCTATTGTTCTAGTACTATTACATTTGTTATTAATATGTCAAAATCAAAACTGGCCATTTTTATACCAATGATGTCAAGGTTTTTTATTTCATTGTAAAAGTTTCAGTTGTTTTAACATGGAACAACAAAATGTTTTCTAAGACAAGTGCTAAATGTTTTGCTAACCATTTGAAAACTGAAAATGTTGTAGTACTTACATTGGAGATGATGGGTTTTAAAAGCCAATTTTGCTTATGGGTCTTGGGAAAACTATACGTGTATGGTAGTGAAGAATTCATATGTTTAAAATTCATTAGAACACCTGGATAATCAAACAGAGATTTCTGTTGGGTCTACTGAAAAATCAGAATGTCTATGAAAAACTTAAATTCAGTCTTCTTTCAAGGAAGGTTCTCGAACTTAATATTTTCTCTTTTTAGTTGTTTTATCCAATAGGAGAATTTGTTTTAACTGATTTCAAATATCAAAATTTTGGTTTCTTTTAAAATTTCTTAAGAGTTTACATGAAGCATTAGGGAAACACCCTTAGCATCACTTTTATTATTAAATGATGCTTCTTGTAAGTTTTTAAAAGCTAATAGAATATATAATTTACTGATATTATATCCTGTGAATTTCATTGAAAATACACATCTAAAATCCAGAGAAATGTTTTGTCAGACTTAGTGAAGGACACAGAATGAAAGAAAAAGAAGAAACTACATTTTTTTAACTATGGCAAAACATTTGAATTGAGAAGATATTTTCTATAATATTATTCACTTTTTTTTAAATTACGAGTACAGCTGAATTCCATGACCAAAATTTTGCCTTGTGTTTCTTCACGTACCAAGTGATTTTAATGTGCTGTTTTACATTTAGAATTTTTAAAATATTTTTATTAAAATTAATTTACCATAACACAAGTATCCATAAAAAGAGGCTAACAATGAACAAATGCTTAAAAGAACATAGAAAACAAGACATCCATATAAATCTATGCCAATCATGTGAAAATGTTTTCATTAGTGAAACAGGATCAAATATAAGCACAAGGATTACAGAAAATAAATGTTAAGAACAAAAATAAAAATAACACCATCTTCCTACATATGAAATAATTAGACCACCTTATAAACTGGAAATCATTTAAACTAACCTACAAAACAGAAAATTACATAAAACAAATAATTATTGAAAACTATGTAATTTAATAGCATACCAACCATCAAAATTTCTGATGGTCATTTCTAACTAAACTGTTGTCTTAAAAATGCTATATACAGGAAGTACAAAATCAAATTTCACCATATAACCTGTGCATTGGAACAAACCTCATTTTCTGTGTGAGACAATGTTCAACTGAGGAGGTTATGTGAAGCTGCTGAAACTTGTATCAGAGTTTTTGTGTCAAAGTTCCAAAAAAGTGTGGATTATAGTTATTTTTAATTTACATAAACAGTATCGTATACTCATCTTTAGCTTATTGTTACATCTTACTTTTCATCTTTCTAGTCAGACATTAAACCATAAACCACTTATTTACATTTTAAGAGTAACCTATAAATCAAATTTCATTACACTTGTCTAAAAAGTTATTTTTCTTCATTTTGCCTACAAAACATACATTTTTTTTGATAGAAAAACTAAAAAAATTGTATCTAGCATTAAAATGACCAAAAACTAAATAAAAATGCTCTGAGAAACACCTTACCAATGGATGACCACGATGGTGCTTGCCAAATATCATTTAGTTGCCAATAGAGGGCACCTCTAGTAAGGCCTTCTCCCTTTACAATATCACTTTGACATCGTCGATAGTACTCAGTCTCAGTTTTGATACTCATTGCTTGGTTAATCTATTAAGTACCAAAATTAAAAATACATGTATCAGATCAAGTATATCTAATTCGGAGATAAACATGTCACACCTGATTTATATTATACCTTTGGAAAACATACTCCTTCAAAGATTTACAATACTGCAAAGAAATTTGTGCATCAAACAAATTTTTTCTAACTGCCTCAATCCAAATTTTTAACATCATCTAAAATATATGAAGAGAAGTAAACAAATAATAGACTCTAATGATTGGACACACGAAATAAGAATACACTTAAAGATCCAAAAGTATTTAATTATTATTGACAAACACAAATTAGTATATTCTCTAAACTAATATTTAAATTACCTGTGATAAATACAAAAGTTGTTTAAATCCTTTTTCTCCTGCATCATAAGGGGGAATATTCATGTGACGTATAATGGAGAGTTTAATCTCTATACCACCTATAACAATAATGGTAATAAGATTACACAGAAATATCTCAGTTTTCAAAGTTTAAAAATGATGATATATTGGTATCATACATAAATTTTTTATAGGTGGAAGACCTATTGTGTCAGAATATATTTCTTTCACCTACATTACACACTGTACATACCTATTTCAAACAAAACCATCCTTACATTTGCACTTAAAGCCACTGGAACATCTTTTAAAATGAGCACTTTCAGTTTTAAGCAGTTCAGGGGTTAGTATCAGTTACATAGCAAATTGTTAAAGACAGAAGAATGGGGGGGGGGGGGGTCATTAAATAAATTATTAATTGTTTAATCACTTGTGCCCATAACGTTAGGGATATTTCCATTAGATGGTGATTAATTTGATAGAGAAATTATTACGGATGACTTAAAACTTAGCTTTTAACACTTCATAATTTTATTATACTCACTACATTCGTGCCTTCATTATATAAAACCAAGATATTCCATTATCATAAATGGTGGTGAATCTTTGGGGGATTACAATGTTCAATTAATAAAGATGCTAAAATATGCAAATATTCCTAAATTTACTACATCATTGAACCCAGTGCACATAGGACAGGTTCTTATGAGTTGAAACAAGTTTCATTTCTTTATTAAAAATAGTGCTTTTCAATCATGCATGATTCTCAAATATATAAAATTTAAACCAAGAAATGTCACATTTGCTTAAATAATGTTATAAAGTTAAAACATCCATTTTTTTCATTTTTTTTGCTTTGTTTTAGCACTGGTATATCTGAATTGTGTCTGCTGCAGGGATAAAATCCTGATTCTTAGCTTACTGCTTTGTATTATGAGGATTATTATTTATTTGTTTTATTTGATACTTTAATACAATACCCCTTGCACGGACTTAGATGAAACAGAAAAAATATATATATTTTTGGCATCAAGAAAAACAGAAAAATCTGCTGTGTTATATAATTAACTAAGATTGTAAAATATGTCATTCTTGTAGTATAAATAGTGTTGTGATAGTGCTGATCGATTCGAAACAATTAAAGGTTGCCATAATTGTAATTCACATAAGTTAAACACTTCTGATCTTATTTGTCAGACAGATAAATTAGTTGAAATTTGTCTAGCAGCCACTCACATCATCAGAATTACTGTACTGGCCAAACACTTGGATATCCATGCAAATAACAAGGTTAGAGAATAGGGATTAGTAATTAAAATCAAAGAGCTTTAATCTGTCATTCCCAATATAATAGACCTTTAATACATATTTAACTTGCAATATATACATAAACAAGAGTATGGTGAAATTTCTTCTGAGGTAAAAACTGTTGAACATTATAAAGAAAAACAGAGAAACTTTAAGGAGAGACTCAATATTTATCATAAAGACATAGCAACATTATTAAAGTTCTTGATACATATCTGTTAACTTGAATTTAGAAGTTACTTAAAATATTCTTCGAGCCCTCAACAAGGTGTATCACTACTGTGAATATTTTGTCAGAGAGAAAAACTTCCTAAAATACACAGCTCAGCTAGCCAGATTAAAAATAATAATAAAATGAAAGTGGAGTACAAAGGATACATTTATTTATTCCCTGCTATTTAATCATAACCATGTTGTTTGAAAAAGTAAACACTGTATGAAATGGAATATATGTATAATCTTCTATTACTTCTTTATGTCTACTTAATTATTTCCTGATGTTCATCCCTCATTCAATTATCCTCTGGACAAAAAGGTTGCTATAAAACCAAAGCGGCAAATATCCTGTGGATAATATTTCCCTTCTGTATGACTAAAACAACAACTGATAAAATAACATAATTACCTAGTGCATGGTGCTGCCGATGTTCTAGAAACTGACTGAAAGGATAGGTCCAATCGTCTGGCTTTGAAATATTTTTCAGTGTTTCAAATGATGGATAGGACTGAAATCCATACTCAGAAACAAATCTAGGGCGAGGATATGTGTGCCAGTCCCAGCCATCTTTGCCATAGTTGTAATAATGAACTGTAATCGAGTACACTGTATTAATATATATGTATAATATTCAGCTACAAAAAACATGTAAATATGTGTATTTATAATGAAACCTTGTATCAACTTATAGTTAAAAGCATAATAGTGAATTTTGAAATATTATATATTTTGGCAAAGAAACTGGTATCTGATAATTTATTACCCAAGTCTATGATTTGGGTTATTAATAATTTGAAGTAATTATGTGCTTTCTTTAACATTATAAAGATAGTATTTCTAGTACAATCCAAGAAACAATTGATAAAATTGCACATGCTATAATGTTACCTTCCCTCCATGGCATTGTGTGACTTAACATTTTTGTGAACAAATGTCTTAAACTCTGGGATATAAATTAACAGCAGTTCTCACAATCTATTAAACACATACAGTTTTGGAAAATATTATGGAAATGCACAGGTGATTCATATACAGAAGTAACAAACATTAAGAAATTAGAACTAAATGGTCAATTTTTTGTTTGTCCAGTACATTATTACAGAAAATATAGAAGTAAAGTAAGTTCTATAAAGCATTTTGTCTTTTCTTTAAACACAGCTGTATGTCTTGCTTTGAAGCTGTCATACGTTTATCAGTGTATGATTCTGAAATATTATTTCAAATGTCTATCCTTTAAAACAGGGTTGTGGAGAAAATGTCAGACATATCAAAAAATAAGAAACCTATTAGTATTTTCAATCTATACCTTACAAATCGTCGCTAGCTTCTAGTTCTAAATTATAAGTGTTTAAAACTTTGAAGTTTCCATAATACATTCACAATATCACTGAAATGTTCTACTAGAAAATTTACTTCACACTGGAAAAAAATCATGTTTAAGCATCTATATTTCTTAAAACTCAAAAGCAACATAAATAAGAAACACTAAATGAATGTCTTGAGTTCTTTACTCATAAGTGATAATATAAATCAGCCACATTGTTTGGTTGTTGTTTGACTTTCTCACTTTCTATATAAGCCTACTGAGCCTTAATAATATTCATATTGGATTTTGTGCAGTCTAAAACATGATTTTGAGTGTTCCATTGGCCCTTCATGCTTGAGCCACTGTCTTGCCAGAAGAAAAATTTCTACCAACAAATCTTGTTCATGAAGGAATGACATGATGTATAAGAATCTGATTGTATCTGTCAGTAGTCAGTGTGCTATCAATTCTGTGTAGACCTCCAACACCATTAACTGAAATGTAGCCTATGCTTGTATAAGTCCTCCAGCAGGCTTCACTGTATCCTATTCTCTTTTCTGCCTTGAACTAATATTGGTTATAAAGAACACCCTCCTCTAGTTCTGCTCATCCCATTACTTTAAGTCTAATGCCCATTTTATCTATTTGATTTGGTTGTCTTTTTTGAACAATGTTTTTTGAATAGCTACACATACATTGAACTCACTTTATATTAACTTGCATCTTAATTTTATTGTAATATTAACACCTGTATGCACAGCTAGATCATTGGCAATATCACTACTGGACTGTAGGGTATTTTGTAGAAAGCATACCCTGAGTTACTTAATATCACTTTTGAAGAGTTTGAGTTTTCTACTTTAACAGCTTCTAATATCAAGAGTACTGATTTCATGTACCCTCTCAGAGTTTCCATACAAATTTTATTAAAACATGAAATTTAGCCTCAACCTGGTGTATGGGGGTTAGCTTTCATCAGCCAAAACTTTGATTTCAATACGTTTGTCATTTGGCAATCTTGTCCTAGGAATCATGGGTGCATTCACCTCACTCCTGCTGAGAATAATACAACTACTTTTATTTATATAGACATGATGACAATGTGGCATTGTGTGATTGGCTAGATGACAGCAACTGCAGAGTAAACTATCAACATGTGACTTTACACTGATGCAACTCATTTTCATATAATACTGATGGAGCAGTCTCATAATATTTGCATTTTATTCACTGTTTCCATAATTGTTTACAGCATTGTAGATACTTAACTTAAACTAAAATACTTGTGTACATACATATCTTTTGCAACTTACAAGAATGAAATTTTAATTATATACAATTTTGCTTCTATATTGGCGTTGTTTCTGGACTTCTCCTGTCTTATATCTTTAACAATGGAAAATCTTTAAGGCCTTTCTAAGTGTTGCTGTAGATGACTGTTAACATATCAAATACACAGTCTAAATCCATCTTGAAAAGAATTTTACTCTCTTTATTTTTCCATAATACCCTGAAATACATTGATATCAGCAAGCTATAGAGTATTTAGTCTGTACATTGACTACTTCTGGATAATTTGTCACTTTTAATCAAATAGGGAGTTTTGTAACATTATTTGAAGCTAATATATTTTTAATGGATTTTACAAGGATTTCCTTGAATCTGGATTCTTCCAGCTGTTTCAGGAAATGTTGTGAACAACTGAACAAAAAAGGGGCTTAACTAGGCCCATTAATGTAAAATACTACTAGTGAAAGCTTTAGCAATGCTGGTAAAATATAATTTTATTGTTAAATAATATACTCAGTTAAAACTTGTAATTCTATTGTAATATTAAACTTTCTCTACATTCTTTTGAATAATGTATTTGTTTAAACGATAAATTATTATTAATTTGCTAAAAGGTAATACTTCTAGCTTGTTAACAAACAACTTCAACAGATACAGATTTGATTCATAAAATGAATATCCCATTGTGATCACATCCACATCGACTGTATTTATTGCACTTGAAACATTTTTTCCCTTTGCAATTGCAAGTAATAGGAGGTATAGGATCAACTTCTGTTTCTATTTCCTATAATTATATGTGAAACTACAAAACACTATTCATGTATTGTTTAATAAGTATAGGACAGGCTGTATGTTAAGAGTCACAGTTTGCTTAAATGTCATCCTAAAAAGTTTCAATATGATTGGTTACATCATCCTTGAATTATTAATAATTTATCAGAACATACACAACAAAGGTGGTTTATTCATTTGTATACAATTGTGTATACTAATCAGATTTTTTTAATTTTAATTTAAAACGTTATTACAGCATAAACAAAACTACAGACTTTAATATTTGTGATTATTACACTAAAACTTTTAATATTAGAAAGGAATATGTCAAATTTATCATTTTTTTCTCATGTAATATTGCTTATGAAATTAAATAAAAACTGCTACGAAGTAAATCTTTAACTAAAAGTACTCACATTATTTTTATTCTGGTATGGACTTTGGATTTAGATACAATGACAAACAGTACCACATTGTCCATAATTCACCACACTAGCAGTACACAATCTCCATAATAATAATAAATATCTCAATCTTAAGAGCCCATAATTTCAAAACAATACAAAATCTATCAACATATTTCTGTCAAACTGTGCATGCTCATCTATACATTCAGTCTATATTCTTTCCAGTCCCTAGCATTTTGCTTGTTGATTGACAATATATTACTTATAATATATTCTTAATATATTACTCAGATATCTGGTGCATTAAATTATAGATTATTAGGTAAACATAATTATTCAGTTATTCACTGTTGTAAGTTCTGCTGTTTCTACAGAGATTAATGAATAACAAATAGCACTGTATTTTTGGAAACCCATAAACATGCCATATTATTAGTTACTGTCAATAAAACTTTCTATATCTCAGTATTTTTTCATTTTATTTTTTTCTGAAACTTGTTATCTCAAAATTACTGATATTATATAAACATCCATATTTTGCTTTATGGATTCCCTTTAACTATCATTGGTGATATATTCTATCTATCTTTTGGGTATACAGCCTCTTAATGACCACTGCCCAAGCTGTACTAAGTATCATGATATGTGTGTGTTCTAAGCAATGCTTAGTGATGCATATTTTGTTTTAATAATGAATGAAAACAAAAGTACCGATAAATTCTTATCTTATGTAATTATTTTTGATAATTAATTGAATAAATACAAGTATAGATATGCAATAAAATAAAAACTCCCCAAACTACATAGATGGTTTTATTTTTGAACTGCCAGGCTTTATCAAGTTAATCAAACTGTTAATTTTCATTTTGACATATTTCCAATCTTTCCTACATAAATATGTCAATGATGTAATATACCCATAGTATTATGTGTTTCTTCTATGACATGGGAACTGTTTTATTAAGGTACTAAAATGTGTAAGGTCAAAATTTAATGGAAACAGCATATCTCTAAATAGTAATTTATTAAGAGCTTTTTGACTAGTAAAGTGATCCTCCATGACTTAATTAGTTTTAGGAAAATGAGTTGAAGCCTTGTCCAGAGCCTTTACTCTCCATTTAGGAGGGAAACTAGCTACTATTACAGCTACATTCATACTCCATGATAATTACATGATAAATGTAAATAAAAATATTTATGCATACAATATGTATATGTATAATTGATGTCCTAAGTACACCAGAATTATCATTATGTAATGTTTTGGTACTAATGATGAATTGTTATTTTGCCATCCATTTTCTAGAAGCATCACTAAATCACATGAAATTCACCAACTTTTCTGATGTTTTCCTGATGATTCCCAGGCTGGGAACACAAAATATGTTTGTTTTAATTTAGGAGCAACCTATAAGGGACATTATAATTACTTCAAGACACTAAGGTTATTTTAATGAGAATACTCTATGCAGGTATATCAAGATGTTCAAGTTTTTATTAGGATTTATGGAAGCCTTTCTTTAGATTTATGCAGCATTATTTATATATTTTTAAATATAGCCAAAAAAAAGAGAGAGTTTTATTTTTAAAAAGAAGAGTAACTAACCATTCACACTACAAACAATTACTTTTTTGGTTGTACAGTATGAAATTATGTTTAGGGCTAATAATAAAGCTTTTTAATTCCCACTTAGGTAACTGTGGAAAAGTGAAATGAAGGATTATGTCAACATCTTGAGCAACAAAATGTAAACCATTCTTTATATACAGACTTAAGTACTTCATTGAGAAACAGGTTTATCTTCAAGCCATCTGTTTAAAAAACTTATTTTGAATCTAATTTATTTCAACATTACCATCACCAAAGTGAGTATCCTGGGGATCCCAAGCTATCCAGCCAGCCTGCTCAGTTGCTAGGCCATTGGAAGGACTTGAAGATAAAAACTGTCTTGAATTATCTTCCTTCATCACAATAGGCCTTATTGTTTTTATGTAGAGCTTCAAATAGTCGTTTCTATATTGCTCCTGCCGAGTACCTATAACTGGCCTGTAGATGTGCAAAAATAATTCATTATTTTTAAAAGCTTCAATAATAAAGTGCAACATATGTTACTAATTAACCAGTGAATTACAAGTTTTATTAAATTTAAACTTGAAACATCTAAGACACGGTAACTTAGGCTTATAGTTTTCCAAAACCAACAAAAAATACATAACACAAGTTCTACTATGTACAATATTATAACCTGTACAAATTTAGAACCTATTTTATTTTTTTTGCAGGATATAGCCACATCATGCTTTTTCTTTTCTGTATGTTTTATTGTGCTTGATTAAACATCAACTTTGTTTTAACTGTAAGAGTAATGCCCCATTTATAAAGAACAGTGGGACAACTTCATAAAAAATAGGATTAATTGGTTAAACAGTGACCAATAGCATACCACCACTGAGAAGCCAAGGCCTGTTCATTTTCATTGTTTCCAGCCCAGATAATTATTGAAGGATGATGTTGCAATCGTCTAATCTGAAATATCAAAACAGGGAAAAAATTTAAATAATTTAAGCCATGTATGTAATATGTTGGCATGAACACATGTTCTGCAACAAAGGGAAAAAAAGGGTTTAACATAAAAGGTTTAACTGATCTGTAGACAAACAGATTACTAATCAATTATATGTAATATCAAAAATGATATTATCCTACACATAGAAGCTGATACCCATTCATTATACTTCTCTGTTTATTCATGGCTATCATTAATGTATGTGTGTGATCAAGTATGTCCCAGTGTACTGTAATATGGGTCCATTACTTGCTCCTTTTACCACAGAAAAATTGCACTCCCATAGTTTAGTGTTTGGGTATGTTATAAGAGTGATGGTCAAATCTCACTACTCAGATAGACAACTTCAAGTAGCCCAAGTTTTGAAAGTGGGTGCTGTTGATTAGCTACCTTCCCTCTAGTCTATCAGTACAAGATTAGGACAGCTAGCAAATAGAGTTCTTGAGTAGTTTGTGCAAATAAACAAAATATCTGTGTTAAAGAAATTACTCTTCATAATTATAAAAATTACCAAATATTATTTTATTTTTGAAAATCACATTCTATTCTGAAGAATATTATAATTTTGTAGTGGTTATGCATTCTTTTGTAAATGGATTGAAGGCATAATACATACTATAATGTAGAACCAATGCAGAATCGCCATAATTTACAATTTTTTTAATGTTTACTTCTGAGAAAGGTTTATGAAAAATATCAATAACATGATCTGTAAAATTTTAAGATTAATTTTTGGTTGGGCAATAGTTGTATATTATGTATTTTCTACCACTCTCTGCTGGTTCACTGATTTTATAAATATATAAATAACATAATTTCATGTTTACCTAAAGAATTTCAAAAACATCAAGTATGTTGAAGTTAGAAAATACATGTTCTTGAACCATTTATGAACTTGATGTAACAATTCTACAGGATATTTTGGTTTAGATGTGTAGTGCAGCACTGATGAGCTGTGGACCCTGTGAAACTAGTCTGTTGCAGTGGGAATAGCAAATCAAAGAATAGATTAGTCCTCTACATCATCTTTTCTTCACTGAAATTATGCAGTAATGTTCTATTTTATTGTTATGTATCTGCTTGTTTGTTAATTTCCGGTAGAATTTCTTTCCGAGAAACTTCAGCAGTTAATCGAGTCCTTTCTTGATTAACCCAGATTAATTAAGTCCTTTCTTGATTAACCCAGATTAATTATGAAATAAGTATCTTTAATGTTAACACACTTTTCAAATAAACATAAAGGGTATGAGAAAACGCTCACAAAGAGTTTTATTGAATAACTGAGGTCATTAATCAATGAAATTTGTCTCTTCAGAGACATTTCAGTATATAGTTACCATGCTGATATCATATATACAATGGCTCAATAAATACTGGACTGAACAGTTTTTCACTTAGTAAAAATTAAGTTTTTTGTTTGTTTGTAATTAAGCACAAAGCTACACAATGGGCTATCTATGCTCTGCCCACCACGTGTATTGAAACCCAGTTTCTAGCGTTGTAAGTCCGCAGATAAAAAATTAAGTGGCCTTCTAATATGCATTAATGCTTAATGCTCACTGACTAATTTACAAGTGAGGGCAAGGCAGTTAATTACAGTTCTTCAACAATAAAAACATTTCAAGAATGCACTTAAATGTAACAAAGATGTAATAATACATTTTAATGAAATCACCCAAGAGTCAGTCAGTATTTGTAAATGTTCCTTACAAATGCAGCATAGTGTTTTAAATTAATGATTCTAAGAAACTCTCAAAATCATATAAAAACAACAAATTTCACAAAAACCATCAGTAAGGTGTGGATGTTTCTATTGGTTTGTCAGAATTTATACATACATATATATATATATATATATGTTGTTGTTGGGCTTAGAATTTTTCTACAATAGGTGTCTGTGACTTGTTGGTGAAAAATTCAATGATCAACAGCACACACTTAATTTGTTTTCAAAATGATATATATATATATATTCGGAACAAGTTAAACTTATGTACAACAAATTCTTCACACTATAAAGATTATAGGAATATCATAAACACTATATATATAGTTCTCTTCTTCTTGTCCACTTAGGCCTATTCAATTACTTTAGAATTTCAGTTGACAAGCTGAACTATCTTCTCTATTACTACCACATTAGTATTCTGTGTGTGATTCAATTACAACTGTGGCATGAGTTACTGTAATCATTTGGTCTTCATTGTTCTAAATATCCTCTGTTCCTTTTGTCAAAGAGCACTCAGGCTGATTCAATTACTTTAGAACCACACTTTAACAGAATCATTTTTCTTCTTATCTCCTCTTCTACTGTTAGTCTTACTCTAACATATTAAATGTTAGGCCTATCACTTCTACAGTAGTTAACTTCATGCCAAACTTTTCCTTGCCCATAACTTTACTCTCTTCTGCTATTGTCTGTTTGCCATTTTCACTCGTCTCATACTTTTTATATCTTTATCACTTAATCATCTGGCCTTCTAGAAATCTCTATATTCTCAACGTCAACGTATTGCACACAACATTCTATAGTCTCAACATCAATGAATTATAAACATAACTTCCTACAATTATTATAACAAAAACTAAACAATAATAAAATATTCACTCACAAGATAAATTAATCAATAATATCTAAACTAAACAGTCTTTTATATCATGAAAGGGTAAAATAAAAGTTAGTACTTTACCTGCTGTTTCACTTCTTCAGCTACAGTATACAAGAATTCATCATTTACTGGATATAAAGAAGCAGCAAACATTAAGTCTTGCCAAATTAAGATACCTAGTTCATCTGCAATGTGATAAAACTCATCACTTTCATATATTCCACCTCCCCATACTCTCAACATATTCATATTGGCATCCTTAGTAGACTGGAGAAGATTTTGGATGTAATCTCGAGTTACTCTCTCTGGAAATACATCTGCAGGTATCCAGTTAGAACCCTTAGCAAAAATTGGAATCCCATTCACTCTGAAGTAGAAACTTAAACCTAATGGTGAAATAAAATAAAATAATAAATGTCAAAATGCTGATAAATAAATGTGTAAGTTTGGATTGGCCAAATAATATGCGTGCAATTCTATGTAATGATTTTTAAAATTAATAACAGGATATCCAATTTAGCTACAAAATATAAATATAGCTGAGAAGCATTTAAAGTTTATTCAGACATTTGTCTCTGCAATCATATTAAGTGCTGGAAAAAAAAAATCTTTAAATAGTAAGGTCAAAAGTTCCAATCTCATTACATTGGTATTACTTAATTCTAACAATTTGCCAGTAAAGTGGTCTTTAATTCCACTTACACATGATTCCTTTTTGAAGTAATAGTTTAAAATGTAGTCTAATTTTGCTCAACACAATTTAATAGAAAATATTACATTAATGTGATGTGTGATAAAATATATCAGTTTGCATAATGTAAAAGTTCACATGCCACAACCACACATCTGAAGAGCATAATTTCAACATATGTATTACTTAAGTATTACAAGTCTTAAAATATTCATGATTTAATTACCATGGTCATTATCTAGAACATCTTGAATGAGTTCAACTGTTCGAAAACCTATTCGAACAGTTTTTGATGTATTTTCTTCAGTGCTGTCCTCAATGTAACTGACAGTGAGGTTGTAGAGGGGTTGATCCCCATAACCATTTGGCCACCACTGTTTTATGGAAATGTTCTACAGAAAGATAAGAAAATAAGTTACATAAATAAATATTACTAAGCTCATAAGATAATGAAGACTGTATGTTTGCAAAATGCAGATTAGCAGCCTTCTCAGTTTAAAAAAAATCAAATTTAGATGAAAATATAAAATAATGGTAGTAATATAAGTGGATTTTAATCATGAGAAGTCTGTAATTTTGCAAGAAATGAAATATTCATCAGTTTTTGCCACATATATTAATACAACTTAATTTTCCTACTTTTAGGATTGATCAAACAAGTTACCTACAAAAAAAATACTCTCACCCTTGGTATTGTGATGTTGAATTTTATCTTTGCAAAACCTTGAATATCTGGCTGTACTGTAACATTGGTGTACTTTATTAAAGTATTTTCATCCAATTTCACTTCAAGAGTGCCATCTGCTGGTGATGTACCCACTGTTTCTAAATGAACAGTTACTGATATTGCCCAAGTCGGAAAAACATTGCTGATTACTGTGAATGATGAAAATTTATCAAATTTTTAAATGTTCTTTATGTATGTTACATGTTCATATAAAAAAGCTTTTGTAATCACATTACTATACAGAAAGTATAATTAGCCAAGCATAAATAGTCAAAGTTATACCACCTCTGTATGTGTATACAGAATAAAATATATCCCACAACCATATTAAACCTGAAAACTTTAATAAAACATGCTCCTGTACACACAACCAAGACAGTGAAAAACATGTAGATTTTTTTATTAGTTCAAAATGTATTTTTTATTCTCTATTAAAGGAAAATGGTCATATGCAAACTTGTAAATAGTAAATCTTTGATGATAGCGTTGACATAAGCTTTAAGCTGTCCAAATGATTTCCTAAAAAAAAATTAAGAAATAAAAAAACACTATACTTCAGAATATCAAAATATTAAATTAATTATCATTGTGCTCATTAGTCATATGTTATTTCACGTATACCTTTTTAATGTTGCTCGATTATATCCATTTGAATAATGGCCTAGTTATTTATTAAATAAAAAAACATCAATGAATTATAATCATTTCCATAACCTATTTATTATTCTCAGTTTCACTAGAAACCTCCTTGGCAAGTTTCACAATTTTACTGATGTGTACATATAAGAAGCCAGGTACTTTTGTTTCAAACAGTCTTTTTATGTGGAAAAGTTATAAATTTAAATTAATCCTCTAGCTTATAGACCAAGATTATGTATGCTACAATGTTTGTTCCATAGGCTTACACATGCTTGCCTTATTTCTGTGTCCTGCCCTCCTGGTTTAAGGTTGTACTGACTTCAAGGGGTGGTACAGAGACTTTATCTCTCTTTAATATGTTTCTTTGGAAAGATCACTGACATTAGTAATTAAGGATTGTAAAATACTACACTACTGCAGTCTGACATAAAAGTGAGATATTTCTATCATTTTAGACCTTATTTTGGATCCAGTCTCTGTTATAATAATGTCTTGAAAACCTTTTCTCTACCCAAGCAACCAGTTTAATTTATACATTGAATTAGTATAACCAGTTAATAAGTTAAATTATATAATAATTTATACTGTTTGTTATTAAACATTATAAATTTGTAAATTGACAAATCTAATTACTTATTAAGATAATTATTTTGTATTGTTAGCTTTGTATATGAGTTTAGGGCTAATTAAACTTTCTCAGCTGGATCAACCCTGTGAAATATTATATAGATATTGCCAAAAATACCATTATCTATGAAGGAACCCAATTTACAGATTTATACATTTTAATTGTTATAGCTCGTTGTTGTATAATATTGCATGTGGTATATTAATTTAGCTATATTAATACCTTGGTTAATTTTGAGTTTGTGGATACTTGTAAGTTTTCTGGGTGATATTAGATCTCTGAATATCATTGCAATTTTTCAATGTTCATTCATGATAGAGAGGGAAAAATGACCACAATATAAATGTATATATTAATAAGTTAAGTCACAGTGAATATAATGTCTGGACTTAGCTGCCAAACACTCTGATTGAAAGTCACACTTTCTCATATACTTACTAACAGGAAAGGTATTTACAACTAAATTTCTGATGATAACTTTGTCATAACCTTCAAGCCCAATTGATTTCCTACACAAATTAAGAAATAAAAAACAGTATAAGTTTAATTTTACATAGTTACAAGTTTCAAAATAATATTCTTTAAATAATTCTGTCTTTTAGAAAAGAGAAGAAATGAATGAAGTATTTAAATTAAGAGTGTAGAAATAATGATATTTAACTGCATGATACTGGCTTTCAATGATAGTTTTCTTCAGTTTCATTATTGTTACATAGTAAATACATATTTGGAACTATAATGCATGTATATATCTTTAAACTTTAGGGTTATTTAACAAAAGTATTGAACAATCTGAAAAGTAACTTCCTATTTAAAAAACAAGCAAATGTCATAAATTGTATTTTAAGATTAAAAAAATTAATATCCATGAATACGTATATTCCTTTATATTGCTTATACTATTATTTTTATTTGTGATAATTCCACTGTTTGTTTCAAAGTAATGTTATACAAATAGTTTGAAGGAATCATCACAAACATATCTCACTTATTTCTCTTTTTATATATATATACCACATTTTGAGACACTTCATTGTAATTTCCTTGAAAAACTGAACATAAAACTAATATTATTATAAACTGGAGAATCATGCTATGTAAATTGCAAAAAAATATTAGGTCTTGCTAATAAGACTGACAAAGTATGCAAAATAATAAGTGTTCATAAGATATTATAAAACGGCTTAAATTATTTTATCAATAGTATGCCAAAAGCAGTTTACTAACATATGTAATAACCTTGTCTAAATGTCTACTGAAATAATAAAGTGAGAGCTTGGAAACAATAGCTAATCTTTCATTGCCAGTTTGGTATAAGAACTGTAAAGACTTGTGGTTTAATAAAACTTATTATATGGTGAAAATAAATCCTACTAAATCAACTTACTTATTTAAAAACACTTGTGTTTTACTTCTACATTATAAGAAAATAAAAGTTCACACCACCTCTATATATAGAGCAAGTGACTCTACAAATAGATATCTACAAATGGTCTCAGCCAAACAATCTTCAAAGGCTTTATTGGCCAAAATATTGAACATATATATTTTTATTTTCCTTTAAAACAATTTTAATTATATTTCTTTGTATTTTCATATTTGGTGAAGCTGCAACTGTATTTACTATAGCCAGAAATAAGTAGAAATATTAGGGTGGCTTTATTTCAATTAATTTCTACTTTAAGAAACTTAAGGGTAACTGCCTTCCCAGTCAAAGCTGAGACATTGTGGGTGTAAGCACTCAGCTTCGTACCCTTATTTGATTGATGATTTTTTTTTCCATGATGGCTGACTAGATTGACATCAGCTTTTTGATATTGTTTGATAGATGGGATATCCTCAATGCATCTGGGTGCTATTACCACAGACATTATCTGTTATGACAATAAGTTGACAACCAGGACCGATAACAGTATTGCGATTTATATCTATATATATACAGCTGAGATCTCAAAATACATCAAAACATAAAGAATACAGCTGAAATATTTATGATATACACACTACAAGAATAACATAAGCATTTATATATAAAAAATAAATTTATTTTCATTTACCAAACAAAAAACTCAACCCCATTAATAAAGATAAAATAAATGGAGAAACATATATTTTCCTACAAAATCCAAAAATCTTTCATTGGTGAATAATAATAAGAAGCAAGTAAACAAAAATACCATAGACTCTTTTTATATTAACTAAAACCCAGAACATGTTAATCAACTGAAATATAACATAAACTCTTTAAAATAAATCACAAAATTAAAAATACAAAATAGAACATAAAAAGGACCCTTGAACATAGATAATTAAACTGGACAAAACTAAGATAAGAGAAAGATGCAGAGACACATGTACATATACAACACTTTTAACTTACTAAAATAGAATAATAACGTATAATATTTACATTACCCAACAGATGGTATGAGAGACTATTCCCTTGTCCTCATTTTAGGTTGGTCAGCAGATCCTTCAAGATTGCAGTCGGCTGGGGACTGACTGCAGTGGTCTCCCTGATAATATCACAGGTTTTGTCCATAGCTCTTCTCATATCTGCTAGTTTGGCTTAAGTGACAGATTTCTATGAGCTATGATGGAGGCATTATTTGCTGCTGCAGCCAATCTTTCTCTTGGTTGTAAATGTCCCAGACCTCTGTCCACTTTCAGCCTTCTCATTGTAATACCACTTGAAAAGGTGCATGTACTGGACTGAAGGGTGGTCTTTGATGGTGTTTGGTGGTACAGTTGGAAACATCAACCTCAGCTGCCTTTGAGTCGACTCTTGGAACCTCTTTGGTGGTATTGGTTTGGCTTCCATGGAGGTAGAGATTCCCTGCTTTGTCTATGGTGTGGTCTAGTGGGCCATTGAGGTAGATGATTTTTCTATTCACTCTGTAGGTTTTGACCATCATTGGTAGTGATAGTGGTATAGGCAATAAGGCCTTCTTGGCCAGCTAGCTATAGCCCTTGGTAACAGTAATATTGGCTGATAGAATTTCCAGCCTACTTGATGGTGTATCTGCCAAGTACTGTATCTCTTCTTCTACTCTTCCAATTCATCAGTAAACCATTCAGAGCAAACTTAACTTTGGGAATATCTACCTCAGCTTTGGGATGTAGTGGTCTCAACAGAGGTAGGTGTAATTCTGGGGCCTTTTTCTCACTGTCATTAGACACCCTCTATTGGAACACCTAAGGACATGTTCCTGATCCTGAGACATATATCATTTCTCCTTTTTAGCTGCCTGTGTTGTGACATTCAGCAACTGTGATTGAGTCTCTGGCATGCTCGGGCTGACCATTGTAGAGATGGTGCTCTGCAGTGTCATCTCTGCTGATACTATAGTCATTGCATCCAGTGAGGGCTTGGGTCCTGTGAACAGGTCCACAACTGACTGGGACTACCTGACCCCTGGAGATTTCACAGTTGGTGAGATAACTGACTTGATGAAGTCCTGAACATAGAATGTATTGGCTAGTAACCCATCTTTATTCATGGATTTATCAGGATCAGACTAGTTCCAGGTATCTTTAGTGGAGAAGTCCAGCTCCTCACCAAACAGAATGTCCTGGATGTACGATGTTTGTCATTGTAGTTTTGTCTTTTCATTTGAATGACATTTTAAAATAATGGAAGGTTCAGCACACAACAGAGTAAGAAAAATACCACTGGTTAGTTGAAGTCAATATGCCAAAAATAGTCAATAACTCAAAATTAATTTGTAAAAGTCTGGATTGAAAATAAAATGTCAGATGATTTCCAATTAGTCAGGTCAGCTAGATATGTAGGTTGAAAAACAGTTATAACTGCCAAGTTACAACAGTCACTCCCCTTTAAAAACTACTTCTAGAGACAGAGTAATCAACAGGTTACCTTGACCATTGACATTTTTATGGGATTCACATGTGCTCATGCTCAAGTCACCCATAGAACACGTATCCCATGACCTTCCCAGTTCACCACCCTTGTTGGTGGCTACTTGCCCAATACCTTAATAGCTTTGCAATTCTCTTTGTTGCCATTCCCATGACAACAACCAGCATGCTTACTCTTTGACCATGATCGGTTTCTTTCACAACCATCATGTTGTCATGTAAACAAAGCCATTTTCCATTGGGAAAGGAATGGTATCAGGGTTGCAAAACTTGATCCTACACACATGAGCAGAATCAGCTTAGGTGACACCAACCCTTACTTTTGACTGTTATAAATCACCTACATTTACTGCCTTTCCTTAGGGACCTTATTCTAGCTACAAGTTTAGTACTATTTAGTGATTTATTCATAATATTAGAAAAACACGTGATTTACAAAATTTCATCATATTTACTTTTTGCTTCCCTCTAGAACACTTACAACCTGCATTTTCATGCATCCTATACTACACATGGTACTGAAAAAAACTTTAAGAAAATAGTAAAAAAACTTTGTGCTTTACTAAAATTTTTATTCTGCATAATCGAAAATATTTTCAATCAGAACCAAATAAAATACTGGGTAAACTGAGTTGTTGCATCTAAGCTACTATTTGTGAATTTCATATACTAGTGATAATGTCACCTACCCATAAACATTTCGATTAGATACAGTCAAAATATCTTGTACTACTCTTACCAAGAAAACAACAGGAAAAACGGCATTTTCTCTCAGAAGTAGTGCGAGTTTCTCTCTTACCCTTATCCTTTCAGGAAAACTCACTACTTGCTGAATATTTCAATGTATAAATTGAAGCATTATTTCACAAATATTAATGAAAATAACAGGTACACTGTATCTTCAAATAACTACTTCACATGTCATTAATCACAGTTGACTTTATAGCACTAAGTCTTAACATCCAGACAAAATCCTTTATTTTCATTCATATATGGCTCAATAGTTGTGTTATTTGTGCAATAAATCCATTTTTGTCAATAAACACCAATAAATGACTCCATTTAATGCTCCTACACAAGTGTGGGACTACACATATTGTTATTTAAACAAGTTTATTGTCACACATATATATCTCCATTACACACTGTCTCACGCACTAATAGTTTAAGTTGTAACCTTTCAGTATACTTACTACTACTACTGGGTAGCTGCAGTGTCGTAAATTGCTAACATCTGGGAGCCATAAAACTCAACGTTTTTCTTTTAAGGCACCGTGAAATAAATAATCACTGATAGAATTCAGCTAAAGATTTTTTAGCTGAAATTATCGTAAGTCATGATTAACATTCACGCTGTTGTGGTATATTAAAGAAAAACTGGGTAAACCTTAGAGCAATGGGCTAGATTCGCTTAATAACAGGAAATTAAACAATATACCTATAAGTCTGAGTAACAGAGCTAGAATAATGAATATGAAATTATGAGACTAGACACAAAATGAACAATCTTTATTAAAACAGAGTTAACATGAACAGAGTGTGTGTCCTTTATTTACATGGGATGATCGTTTTTACTGGATGTTCTAGTTTCAACTGATCAGGCCAAATCCGTGGGCTAAACTCCCTAAATGATACTGGTGTCAACATCATTGCATAACATACTGTCACGTCTCTGTTCGTTAGTTAATTTTCCGTAAATTCGTTCCGACAAAACTTTAGCGACACAAGCCCTTTCTTAAATAAAACTGGTTTATTCTTTTCGAATACAACTTTACGATACACTTAATTTCAACAGTTGCTCTATAACAAACGCTATAACTCACGTCCAACAATATTTTATCCGCATACATTCAATTACTCATTACCTCTGTTGTCCCATCACGTTGTGAACGTCTTATATATACAAGACTAACACATATCTAGTAAATGCTAGGGCATTCTTGAAGGAACAGAATATTTCTAGAAACAGGTGGCGTGATACTAATCACGTGACCTCGCTGACGCAACACTGCCCCCTCCTTAGTATTGTTCGTCCCGAACAATAGCCACTTACATTAAACCAATAACTATAACTTAATTAAATGTACAGAATTACAAACACAAAATTACAATTCAACAAAGTCTCTTAATTTTACGGGAAACAACAGATGGGAAATTGACGACTTGGCAAACGGTTATACCAAGAAAGTTACGGGAAGTTGTGCTGCATCAGTCCCATGATACTTTAACAGGAG